GGAGTTTGGTAGTCATAGTCCTGAGCCAAGCCTCTGAAGTTGGGTATTTAATACCCCGTAAGATATAATCTTGTTTGCAAAGTAGTGAAATAAATTTTAAAATTGCCTGTATATACAGAACTTCTGACCATTTTCCTTCATGTCTACAGAGTGAATTTAATTGCCAGATGGTATTAAAGCAGTCTTGTTTCTTTTCAAACCTCATTATCTGCTAACTTGTAGTGAGTCCAAATTTGATTTTAATAATGCATTAATTTCTTTTTTAATTTTAAACTGCATAATTTTAATTTGCTCTAATTATTTAAAATCTGTCCCATTGGGGTGTCTGAGGGTACAGATTATTACACACTTTCTTGTTCGTGTTTCTTGAAAACTCAGAATTTGCCTTTGAATACTTGTATGCTGCATTCCACACAGGAAAATTTTGAAACAAATAATACCCAGAATTTTGCCTTTGAGCATTTGCAATTTATTCCTCAAAGGAGAATTCTAAAATAAATAAAACCATAAACAGCAATGCCAGGTATCCCTGGGACCCTGATGGCTTCTTTCAAGCTGAATGTCCCCAGCCCTCCCTGTGAAGCTTTCCCTTGCTCCAGGACTTTCCAATGATGCCTTCAAAATGGTCTGGTACAAAACTCTTTTAGAGTGAACAGACCACATAGATATGAAATAATCTGTTCCTACTTACTTTCAATTATGAACAGGCAAATTTGTTACAAACTCTTTATATATTACTAAATTATGTCTTAGTTGTGAAGCATGGACAATTAGGTAAGAGTGATCAAGTTTTTCTTACTCTATGAGTCACAGAGTGTGCCTAGTATTTCACCTGTCCTGCAGGAGAAGTACCGAGCTCAGCAAGGTAATTTAATCAGGTGGGAATGGCCAGTTCCCATGCCTTATTATGTCCTGCAAAGTATTCATCATTTAAAGCTTTACCAGTCTTGTAGGAGGTGTGCTAGTCAGGCATAGCCAAAATCAAAACAAACAAAAAAAACAAGCAGTGGTGTTATCTAGCACTACATTTTAAAGTAGGGACTTAGCATACATTACACACCTCTAAGAGACTTCCCAGCAGTTTTATAAAGACAAGCAGTTGATTACGATCTTAAGAAAGGCCTAAACCTTTAGAAACAGACTCACTTGCAACTAACCTGTCTTCTAGCATATTCAGTCCCTTAGTTGGCAGAAAATGATTACAAAATTATTTCCTCCAAGGTTAACGTCAACTTGCACTGAGTTAATAAAAGGCTAAGTAACATATATGAGAGATTTCTGTGGTTTTTTTACGGGTGGATTAGAATGAACTCCTTCAGAATCCATGAAGGAGAATGCAGGCTAAGGAAGGGAGAGGGTGTGGTCCCAGGAAAGAATTCAAGATAACCAGTAGCATTTTACATACATGGCAGGCAACTTTCGCACATCCTTGACAACAAAAGACAGGAATTTTAACAGTGTCCACGGGTTGGGAGAAACAAGATGTAGGAAACCAGCCAGAGTTTATGTTTATGTTAGAGGATAGTGTGGGTATGAGGTAGAACTGGCAAGCAATTCCTAACTCTGGACAGCACTTAGGTGTTCTGGGTCAAAAAGTGCTGCTTGCGGAGGGAGCACCTGTCCACCGTGACCCTGCCAGTCACTTCCCTGCCTCGTATGTGTCTCAGTTTTCCCTCTGGGTGCTGAGAGCACTCAAGGGGCCCCAGGGTGCTGGGTGACCAGTCCTTATGTGGACCCCCTGGATGGGGCAGCCCTCAGGAACACTGAGAGACCCTTTCAGCTTCCAGGCGATCTGCCTCTAGGACCTTTACCAACCCTCTGATCACCGTTTCTGGGATCTGGCATGGATTCAGGTCCCCTGAGTATCTGATCAAGCCCAGGGCCTTCCGGAACCCACAGAGTCCTTTATGATTAGAGTGGGGAGGTCCCTATGAGGCCCTTACACATCATGGGAGTTGATTCCCGATACCTTCGCAAGTCCCTCACAGTCTGAAGGGAAGATTGCCGCTTATCTCCAACCCAGACTGGAGTCTGGGTTCATAAGGGTGGCGTTCCCTATTCTCCTGGGGGCTTTTGCTGCCTACATAAATACTACACAAATAAAGGGAGACAGCAACACTTAGAAAAATATAAAATGACATAAGCACACACTAAAGTTTTTAAAATATGACATGTCCCATTAAACAAAGCATAATAAACCAGCCACCTTGTTCAGCAAATTCAAAGACAGCAGACACCCACAAATAAGGGAACAAGGGATATGGGAAACATCTGTTTCATTCTCCTCCAGCTGTATTCCTCACAGAAATTTCAGACACCTCTTAGCAATTGGCAGGTTGGTACAAACCCTCAACCCGGACCAATCCTAAGCAGAACCCTTCCGCTGTCCATCTTATTCACATGCAATCACACAGAACATTCTTTAACCTTCCACCCTAATCCTAGGAATCAGCCGGTTCATATCTAGACAGTGTTTCCTTCCATTGCCTTTCAGCCCTTTCCTTCAGGCTGGAGACTATCAGACTTGGGGAGGTGATCGAGCTCCCCTTCTGCCATCTACTGGCAGGTCTATATAAAGGCCCTTGTTCCTACCCTTTCCGTTGGGTGGTCGTCCTATTCTTTCCGTCAGGTAGTCATCCTCATGCCAGTTCCTCACCTCTTTGGGTCCCTGTTGTGCTTTCAGGGTCCGAGCCTCAGTGCGCTAGGAGGGGCCTCCCTCCTATGGATCAAAAGATTCGTTGCATGCCAAGTGGGATTGCCCAGGACATCACCCTGGAGGTCATACCCCGATGACAAAGGAGGTGGAACACACTGTCTCTGAACTCTCCACTTCGCAGCCAACACACCAAGAAATGTTGCAGAAAAACAGAGAGACTGTGACACTGAGGCTATCTTGGGAAGTAGTAGTTTATTAGCGCCTGCACAACTCAGCGGGCTAATGCTCCAAGGCTGAGCAACCCAGAGAAAGAGGAGAAGGGTTTTATCTGTTAGTTTAGGTAAGGGAGGAGGTCAGGTTGTATGGTTATACATTGTTCTTTGGAATTTGCAAGGTGGTATTTAGCAAAACCAGATTTTCAAAGAACAAATTGTCTCCAGGGTATACATGACAAGCAGGGGTTGTAAACCAATAACTTCACAAAGAGAGGATGTGGGGGTAAGGTTGTAAATGGATTACTATCTTGCATTTTCAGTAAAGTGACCTTTGGCTATTTGGTTTTCTCAAGCCCCATGTCTAGCAAGTCTGGAGCTTGCCAGTTGGCTTTTAAAAGGAATGATTTTAACTGTTTTTAGCCCCTCTCTGCCAAATTCAACTTTGGCTTTCAAAAATATTCTTGCCTCTAAAATCCAGCCTTGCTGAACATCATCTCCAGATCATTGTGCATTACTTTTTTAAAGTTATTATATAGATTAGCACTTTCCAATGGAAGTATAATTGAGCCATTTAAAATTTTTTGGTAGTAGCCAGGTGCAGTAGCTCATACCTGTAATCCCAGCTACTCAAGAGTCTGAAGTGAGAACATTGCTTGAGGCCAGAAATTCGAGATCAGCTGGGCAACCTGAGGCCCTGTCTCTAAAAAATAAAAGCAAATTAACCAGGCATGGTAGCATGCACCTATAGTCCCAGCTACTTTGGAGACTGAAGTAGGAGGATATTTTGAGCCCAGGAGTTCTAGGCTGCTATACCCCAGCCTGGGTGACAGGCTGCAGTGGGAATACTTTCATTGACCCTATCTCTAAAAAATAGACACCCTTTTATAGACCTAATTTCTTTAAAAATAGTAGCCACATCTTACACATCTTAGAAAATAAAAATATATAGGTAAAATTAATTTGAATGATATATTTTAACTCAGTATATCTAAAATATTACCATTTCAAGATGAAATCAATATGAAAATTACCAATGAGATAATACTTTCTTAAGACTTCAAAATCTGTTGTATATTTTACATGTATAGTGACATATCTCACTTTGACCTAGCCATAGATCAAGTGCTCAGTGATCACATGTGGCTAGTGGCTACTATATTGAACAATGCTTTAATGTGTATTTGCATAGAGGAATTTCATATTATATAGGGAAACAGGAAATGTTTCAGAATATCTTTCTTTACTTGACATTATTATTAGAGAGGTTTTCATACTTGGGTGGATTTGGACGATAGCTAAAGAAGCTTAGAAAAATGTAAAACATTAAACTTTATTTCAAAACCCATGGTTGGGTTTTATTAATTAGACAACCTATTCACTAGTTTTAGTGATTATAGAAATGCCAGCCAGGCTCGGCAGCTCAGCCTGTAATCCCAGCATTTTGGGAGACTGAGGTGAGTGGATTGCTTCAGCCCACGGGTTTGAGACCAGCCCAGGCAACTTGGCAAGACCTCGTCTCTACAATAAAAAAAAAAAAATCAAAAATTAGTCGGGCATGGTAGCATGTAACTGTAGTTCCGGCTATTTGGAAGGCTGAGGCAGAAGGATCACCGGAGCCCAGCAGGTCGAGGCTACAGTGGCCAGGAGTGGCCACTGCACTCCAGTCTGAGAGACAGAGTGAGACTCCAACTCAAAAAAAAAATTTTTTTTACCACTTAACTATACGTAGTCTTGGATATGGTTTCCTTATTGTAAAGTTACTGGAAATTGGCCAGGTGCAGTGGATTAAGCCTCTAATCCCAGCACTTTGGGATGCTGAGGCAGGAGGATTATTTAAGCCCAGGAGTTCACGAGCAGCCTGGGCATCACAGTGAGATCTTGAATCTACAAAAAAATCAAAAATAAAAATTAGCTGGACATGGTGGTGCACACCTGTAGTTCCAGCTACTTGGGAGCCTGAGGCAGAGGAATTACCTGATTCCAGGAGGTTGAGGCTGCCAAGAGCCATGCCACTGCACTCCAGCCTGGGCGACAGAGTGAGACTCTGACTCAAAAAAAAAAAAAGGGACTGGAAATTTATTGTCATACCTTTTTAATTAAATAAATGCTATGTTATTCTGGCTTTCTAGATAAATCTCTACTTGAAAAGAGACTTTGAAAAAGATAAGAAGCCACATGACAAGTCATATCAGGATGCAGTTTTAGAAGATATTTTTAAGAAGAATGACCATGATGGTGATGGCTTCATTTCTCCCAAGGAATACAATGTATACCAACATGATGAACTATAGCATATTTTTATTTCTCCATTTTTAAAGCAACCTACTGTACTTTATAAATAAAAGTCACTTTTCTCCAAGTTGTGGTTTCTATTTTCCCCCATGAAAAGATATTTTAACCCTTTAATACCTGTAATTTTAATATAAGAAATGTGCAGCTGTTTTGCAAATTTAACATTCAGGAAAGGTATAGTTATGTTTCCTACTGCTTTATTCTGTGAACGTGAATTTCAGCACCATGAAATAGATGTCTGTTTCCCAGTGGGCAATTTACCCCCTTCAATATATAGGACACATAGCAAAAACTGCAAGCTGCAAGCTCTTCTCAACTCTAAACAATATTTATAAATATGTAAATATCTCATTTTAATATTTTAATATTAAAATGCCCCATATTTTAAAAATATTCAGTAGGAATTGACATATTGTTTATTTATACATTTCATAACATTAAGGATAATAGGACATGAAAATTACAAGACTGGCCAGGTGCAGTGGCTCACACCCATAATGCCAGCACTTTGGGGGGGCAGAAGCAGGAGGTCTACTTGAGGCCAGGAGTTCATAATCAGCCTGGGCAACATAGAGAGACCTTCATCTCTACAAAAAAAGATAATCAGGTGGGCATGGTGTACTTGTAGTCCCAGCTACTCTAGCGGTTGAGGTGGGAGGATCCACTGAGCCCAGGGTTTGGAGGCTGGAGGTTGCAATGAGCTATGACAATGCCAATGCACTCCAGCCTGGGAGACAGAGCAAGACTCTGTCTTTAAAAAATAAAAAAATTTTTTAAAAAACAATTGAATCTTTCTCTAACACGCATGCAGGAAGAAATTGGTTGTATAGCTCTGTCCCACAAAGAACTTCAACAATCTACTTTTTGACGCAAGCTTCTGGTATTTGTTCCAATGGGGAGTGTTTAAAAATTGTTGATTAGACCAAAGACTTTTTGTCTTATAGCAAGCATAGGGTTTATATTGTTGGGTCTTGTACTCCTTCAGACATTATTATAAATGTGTTACTCCTCTTCCTTCTCATAGGCCTTTATAAGATAAACCTTATTCTTTTAATAGTTTTAAAACGATGTCATAGAATTTCTTAGTTTCTAGTTTACTTTCTCTAGATATCTCTTTCCTTATGTCACTTCATTTCATATCATTCTTGTCATTAATGATGAAAGATCGTTTCAAACTGGTATGCTGTCAAATGTTTAAAATTTATTTTTGCTATAAATGATATACAGTGCCATGGCAATTCAGTGTCATGGTCAAATCATGATGTGATCTAACTTGTTGAGAATGATAGGTAAGAGATGCCAAAGATCATGTTGGTGCCAAAGAAAGGGCAAATATTTATAGTAACATAATAAGATTTTGCACACAGCATATGAAGAAAGTATGGTCAGGGAGTAAATAATTCTGTTCAAATAATTGAGTTCCAAACAAATGAGGCTTTTCCTATTTTCTGAAACTTGCTCTTTTCAAACCATTGTTCATCTTTTTAGTCTCTTTAGATATACTGCCAAAAATTATATTTAAAAGTATAATTTTGTGGGATTAACACAAAAACCCCCAGATTAGTAAAGACCACACATGCACAGCACAGAATTTGACAACTCATAAAACAAAACATTTACTATCTTTTATTTACTCTCAGTGTTTCCTCCTTTCTATACAGTTTTCCAACACTTTCTCAATTGCTTAATCAACTCTTTCATCCCTTTTCTTCCCTTACAAAAACCAACTCAGCTGAAGTAAACTAAGTTGATAACTGTTTGGGAAACTGTCCCCATTCTCTATATCCATATTGAAGAAGTCTGATATCAGAGCCTTTTGTCCTCAGCATACTAAGATTTCACTTGAATAATATTATCTGCCCCAAACAAAAATATGGTCAAATAAAATATGTGGAAATTATCCTATAATCTAAACTTTATAATTCTAACCTGTTCCATGTTTTCATGCAAAGTGCTTTTAAACTTGTTTTTAAAAATTATAGATGTTAAATGAATGGAAGATTAGTTCTAAAACTATTTCATATTTATATTATTTAAAAAATAAGCTTAAGTCATTCTACATATATAGTTCTCAGGTATTTTATATCTACATGATTGCTTTACAACTTCATATGCATATGCATAGCAGTGAATGCTGTGACTATATTCTGAGTTCTAGAATTTTAACATATCCGTTTTGCAATTATTTTAATAAAAGTAGATAGTAAATTAATAACTTAGGTTGTGTATGAAAAAGCCAGATGTCAACAGAGTAAATGAAAAATATCTTTCTGACCTAAATATATTAAATGTTTTAAATATCTTAAAGAAGAACTAGATGTGTCCTATCTGCCTTTACTTTAAAACAGCAATAGTGAGTTTTATGAAGATAAAACTAGCAAGCATACATACATCAAAGGATGACATCCTATTACTACTATCGGTCACTCTGTTAATTGTGTACACAAAACCCCACGCTCAGCTCAGTGGGCTTTTAATTTGATCCTGCAATTAAACATTTAGGATTACATTAAATTATTAACACATTTTTTTCTCATTTTACCAGACATACAGCAATAGTTAAAGTACCATAAAGTTGCCACTTTATACTCATCATCTTTACATATTGAATTAAAAGTTGATTAAAATAAAATTAATATTTAGAAAACCCTCTTTATTACATAAAAAGTGATCTAAAGTGATAGACTAAATCCCAACAATGGCTTTAAAATGACTGGCAAATTTATGAAAGAACATCTATATACTCAATTTTATACTTAAATGTTTTTTGATATAAACAATGTTATTAATCTTCATGAAATCTTTTCTTTAGATTAGAAAATATAGTTTATTTAGAAAGTAGATTAGAGTAGAAAATATCGTTTATTTAGAAAGTAGATTAGAAAGAGAGAAGAGAGGAGAAAGAGGAGATTCACCTCTCCAAGGTAGGGAAGGTGGCCAAAGTCAGGAAACATGGTGATGGCCATAGCTCAAAAAGCCTTCATGAAATCTTACAAGATAGACACTATTATCATTATCTCTACCTCATAAATGAGGAATATGATTCCCAGACAGTTAATTTCTTTTTTCTTTTCCCTTCTTATTGGAATTTATCAAAGCAAACCTAGATAGTTAAAGGAAGGTTTATGGCACAACTGCACCTGAAACACCAGCCAGGTATATTCATTTTTCACTTTATTTCATTCTCTTGTGCCAAACATCAAAACAAGGAACTGCATGAAGTCTCACATACTTTTGTCCATCGACAGAACACTGAAAGCACCCATAAACCGTCTCCCTTTTAAAGTTCCCCATTCCACAGAGTATGCAAGGCCCTTTGGGAATGTTGTGATTTAGTAAGTTAACTCGGATATGAGTCCCTTCTTTTAGTGAAATATCAGTCATGCTGAGAGGTTTGTCATAGTAGTCAGAAAAAAGATCATCCAAGTAAAGCTGTGAACGAGAAATGACATCCATCACTCTTCTGTCTAAAAGGACAAAAACAGAAATGTGTTAGAAGTCAAAATCAAAAATATATAACCCAAACTGCACTTATAAATATGTAAAGCTAAACCATCAGTCATAAAATGATTTGGCTTTTAAATTTCAATTTTTCCTTAGCAGATAGAATTACTTAACAGAGAACCTCATGTGTTCATTCAGGAAGAAAAAAAAAAAATACATGCACAATACTCTTCAATGGACATACTTCTCTCAAATAGTATATTTCTCAATCTGTAGAGCAGTGCAAACGTTGCTGTTTCTTCCCTTTCAAATCCTCCTTTTGACACTGAAGTGACACAAAGGTCTACAAAAAAATTTTTAGAAGATGTTATAACTTGAACAATCCATATTTTATTGTGTGTTTGGGGGGAGACAAATTCTGGTACAAACTAGGCACTGTATTTTTTTAAGTTAAACTTTACATATTTTTGGAAAAGGTAACATTCACAAGATACAAAATTCAGAGAGTACAAAAAAGAGAAACGATGACAAGTAAGTCTCTAGCCCACGCTGAGACCAAACACAGACTTCTACCTCAGTGGCAACCACTGTTAAGTTTCTTGTGTGTGCTTTCAGAAATACTCTATATATTGTACAAGTATATAGAAATACGCATATGTGGGTAGGTATGTATGTATGGTATATTTATACATTTATTTAGGCCCAAATAGTTACATACTGTACACATTTCTTTAAAATATCTCTTAGAAATTATTCCATGCCAGATCTATACTCATTCTTTAATAGCCTCACAGTATTCTGTTGTAAGAATGTACCATTATTTAGCTAGTCACTTTAAAGTTGTTCCCAATCTCTTGCTATTAAGAAGTGAATATTCTTGTACTCATATCATTTCATAAGTGTGCAAATATACCTGTAGGAGAAAATTCTAGAAGTGTAAGGCCAATGTATATGTATTTAAAATTTTAAATTTGATAGATATATCAGTTGACACTCCTCCCAACAATAAATATAATCATACCTACAGCTAAAGTTTTCAAATAGAATTTATTTAGCACATAGTTTTGTTTTATTTCCAGACTCTATTTTCTTCTACCACAGAATTACAGAAGGGAACAAAAACAGGTCTGAAGGCTTTATAAATTTCCATAGCTAGAGGGCTCCCTTGCTTTATCCTTTGGTCTATGCCTGGACTTGTGCCAGTTGGTCAACAAACCTTGAAGACCTGAGAATCCTAGAAACCTAGGTGAGTTGTACTGAAGTTATTATATAAGGTGACAATTTGGGAGGAAGTATTTGTACTTTTAAAGTCGTTTTTTAGGGGAAGTGTCAGAGGAAGCTGGGTCTACAATAGGTAAAAGTGAAGTAAGAAAATCAGTGGTCTTTGGGTGCCCTGGTTTGAGCACCCTGACACTTCAGGTATCTTACTATCTACCTATTCTTCTATTTGCCACTAGCAAACACTACCTATTAAAAGGTCATTTATTATCTTCTCATGTAAGCCAAAGAATGCTTTTCGGTGATTGCATGTTAGATTTTATCTATAGCTATAAGTGGGGTAGCCTTCACCAAGAAGCAGAAAAGAGGTATGGGTAAGTAGGAAAGGGAGGGCTTTTCTCAGCTACTTCACTCAAGCATAAGATTGACAGTGCTGAGAGCATCACTCTTCTATCATTAATAACAGAGAGAGAGAGAGAGAATGAATGTGTTTTCTATTCAATTCTCCTTAAAAATATGATAATTTGTGTTTCACGCAGATAATTCACTCACCAAAGGCACCATCCAGGTAAATGAAGAGCTCAAAAACACTGAAAGCTATGGTTGTATGTGCTGGGAAAACAATAGCTTTGTCCCTTCCCTTGGGATTCTGTTCATCCATAAAATGAAACTATATTAAATAAATAAATAACATTATTAAGGAGTATAACATGTAAGGATAGTTTTTTGGAGATACAAAATGTCACCTACAATCCTACCAAAACAAAACAAAAAGAAACCTCTGCAAGTACAGAATTATTCTTTTTGGATTAAACTGTTTATAGCAGGGATCCAGAGCAGTCCAATGGGGTCTTGTGGCCTATATTATGAAATAGCTCTCTACCTTTTCACTTACTTTGGTATTGGAGTCAATGATTAGTGCAACGCACAACAGTAATGCTCTCTGGGGTAGAACCTTTGTCTTTCTTTTTTTTTTTTTTTGAGTCAGAGTCTCATTCTGACGGCCAGGATGGAGTGCAGTGGCATGCTCATGGTCACCATAGCCACGACCTTCTGGGCTCAGGTGATTCGTCTGCCTTAGCCTTCCAAGTAGCTGGAACTATAGGCACATACCACCACATGCCCGGCTAATTTTTTTTTAATTGCAAAGACGAACTCTAGCCAAATTGCCCAGGCTGGTCTCAAACCCCTGGGTTTAGGCAATCCTCTCACCTCCGCCTCCCAAAGTGCTGGGATTACAGGCATGAGCCACCGCGCCCGGCTGAACCTTTGTCTTTCAACTGCAGATCTTAGAAAGCAGCTGTGTATAAGTGCTAGAATTGAAGTTTTCAGCCTGTCTACCATTCCAAAGCCCCCAGAACTTTCAGCAGCTTTCCAAAGCTATCACCAACAAGCAAGTAAACATTTCAGTTTGTGCCTCAAAAATGATCCAATGTTAATCAGAATTTGGCAGACAGTTGAATATAGGTACTGAACAGAACTTGTATTTGCAAATATTTGAAAATATTATATTTGGCCAGGCTCGGTGGCTCAGCCTGTAATCCCGCTCCTTTGGGAGGCTGAGGTGAGTGGATTGCCTGCGCCCGCGGGTTTAAGACCCGCCTGGGCAGGCGAGACCTCATCTCTACAATAAATCAAAAAAAAAATTAGCCGGGCGTGGTAGCGCGCACCTGTAATTCCGGCTACTCGGAAGGCTGAGGCGGAAGGATCGCCGCAGCCCAGCAGGTCGAGGCTGTGGTGGCCGGGAGCGGCCACTGCACTCCAGTCTGGGCGACAGAGTGAGACTTCAACTCAAAAAAAAAAACAAAGAAAAAAGAAAATATCATACTTGAATTCTATCTTTCTAACAATTGGTTTTAACCCAAACAAGTCATTATTAGGTGTCACTAAATGACAAGGATAAACAATATCACAAATGAGCTGAAAATGAAACACTAATAATTTTTAAAAGACTAACATTGAATAAAGCCTATTTGGCCACTGCTAATATTAATTTATAAAAATTTTTTAATAGAGAAATAGAAATTTAACTTTTATAAATTCAAAGGATAAACTATATCACTTAAAATAAAATTTAAGAATTCAATTTAGGCACTCAATTCTTATTCTTAAAAAAACACTTAAATAGAAATAGGAGAGACTCCACTATGTACATTATTTCATAAGAATTAGTGTTCTCTTTGCATTATATTACACATTTAGAGTCCAAGTCTTCTTGGTTTTTTCCATATTCTGAAACAATACATTACTGTACAAAATCCTGTATCATTACAGTTGTTTCATCTCAATATTTGACAAAATACACTTCTTGTTAGAAATTAAGTATTTTTTAAAATTCCCATGGCAACGTTTTAGTTAGTTAGAAAAGTCAAATGAGTGTGGTTTACCCGCATTGCTTCCCCACGAATTCCGGCATGCACAGACAGAGAGCACTGTCGCGTGGTTCGAATGCTTTCCATGACCACACATAATACTGCCTTTCTGCTGCTCCTTGACTGACGTATCAAGCTGTGATCAAAGTTAATTTTTCTAAAATAAAGAAAATACATTCACAAGGCTCGTTAACATCTAATTACACATAACCAAGTCCATTTTTTTGCTGTCGTGTTATGCATTCACGGTTCACCTTAACTAAAAGTCAGTCAAGGCAGGCCTATTACAAGTCAGAAAATACACCCAAAGAAAGTTAATTTGTCTCTTCTATTTTCTTAGATCATGCTTTATATAGGATGTTTTATTCTGTCTGTAGGAGAAGAAAGACTCTCTTAATATGTTTGCGGCAGACAGATCTCCACATTATTTCAATCTAATAATTTAGCAAATGCATGCAGAACCAAAGTGGTTTTGTAGAACATGTAAGCATTTTGTTCAAGCCAATGATTTTGGATATACTAAAAATGATTTTGGATATCCAAAGTTAGATATACTACTAATTTGAATAGTCCAAACATATCAAGCAAATCACATTAGTAAAATACAACCTCAATGTTTTAAGCATTCTTTGTAATGAAGTTTATATAGTTAGAATATTTAATGAAAACAGTGACGTATATTAGGATTATCATACTAACCGTGTAGTAATTTCTTTGAGTAATGTTGATACTTCCACTTCATGTTTGGTTACTACGCCAAATGAAGCTTTTACTGCAATGGAATCTGATCCAGCAACGTTAATCCCAACGTCATTTACAATGTGGTTTCCTCGCCTTCCATAGAGTGAAACATCTGATTCATCTTCATAATTCAGTAATTGATAAGATGAAATACCTTTACAAAAAGTAATTTCGTATTTTTTAAATGTCTTGAATTCATCTTATGTTGATTGTATATAGTAACATGTTAATTTACAAATGAAGACTCAATTAGCTAAATGTTAGAGAAAGGCAACATTTCTAACCAGGATTAAAAATTAATTTTAATTCAATTAAATTTACAACAAAAAGAAACACATAGCCAGAATTTTTTTAAATGAATTCAAATTTTCTGTTTCAGCCACAGACCTTCTTAAGCATCAAGATCCACTGGAGGGTTGAAAGAAAAGACAAGTGTTTATAAGCAATAACTTTTTAAAATATCAATTTATTTTATAATCTAGCCTTCAAATACATTTCTGTTTACTAACTGTAATAACTGAATCATTAAAAAATACAAATTACTTTCATCACATTTGGCTATGTGAGAAAGGTAAGCCCAAATAAAATTCCACTTTATAAATGAAGAAATATACTATGTCATAGTCTAAGTTGATTTGGTTAAAACAATTTATAAAATAATCGACAGACTTGAAAATTATTTAACCAATAAGATTTGATACTATGCAAACTTTAAGCATTGCTAATCTTAATCATTAATTGTATTATCATAATAAAAGCTGCTTTTATCATTGAAAATGTATAAGTATTACTAATGTAAGTAGTATGTACAACCTATGGTTAGGTTACCAATAATACAGCTGAGTAGTCACTCTCAAACATTTAAACTTACCAGCTGAAATTTCTCTGTCTCCTAGAAGAATATCTTTCAGTGTGAAAGGTGTTGAGGTAAATTTATATCTAGGAAACAGAAAGCATCGCTTCTTTTTTACCACCAGACTTAGAGGTTGATATTTGTCAGCTTCACTGAGGCTTGGAACAGGAACTAATCTCCCTCCATCTCCAACTTGCTTGACAAAGCTCTTGGTAGCAGCAGCAAACATATTAACGTCAAAACGTCATCAACCGCAACCCCCAGATAAATCCATTTTTCAAAGAAGAAAATCAAGCATAAAATTAAGGCTTGCTTGATTTTAAATATAATTATACACCTTAAAAATACAAAGCATGGTTTCACCAAGTAGTTTACCTGTGTACAATTCACTGCCTTCCCTCGTGTGCTCAGGTAATGAATTATAGATCAACAGTGTAAAATGATATACTAAAAGCAAGTCTAATTTGGAATGGCAGGCTATCGCACTAAAATGTACACAGAAAACTAATAATTTTAAAATACATTAATGTCCTTGATGAGGATCATACTAGATAGGGATTTGCCACTGGCAATGAGCCATTTTAAAGAGAAGTATATAAGCCTATGGAAAACAATGCAATTTAGACTCTAACATTAGTCCAGGATACAATCTATGGAGGACCTAGTCCAAAGGGAATTCCTTCTTAAGTCCATCACTGAAATTTTGGAAACAGAGAAATGCTGTTTTGAGTCTTCACAGTATACAGTTCATTGAGCATTTTTATTTATTTTCCACCTTGTATATTTACAAAAGTGTTTAATATTAAATATAAATTCATATACTACAGGGAAAACAATTGTATGCAGATCCTCCCAAATACTAAATAAAAGTCACATTACATATAGATAATTGTATAAACTATTACCTAGTGGTTTCTAACTATGAAGCTGAGCCCATAGACTGTAACTCTGAAATGGAGTCCTGTTGCATTTTTCCTTCTGCTTCATCATTATTTTTCCAGTTACTCAACCTTTAACAAGAGCTACACAACGTTTTTAAGTAATTTTATGGTTGGAAACACATCTTAGAAACAAATCTGCGTGCCGAAATATTGTTTTGCCATAGGTGTTATGTGGACGTAAAATATCTTGAAATAGTCACCACACAGTCCTTTCAAGAAGATATTCCTTAAATTGTAACACTGGGGGAGAAGGAAGAGAGAATAGGCTTAATTCAAGCCTCAAATAATATCTATTAACTTGATTAGATTCTGAACATCTTCCCATTGCTTCCAAGAACCCATGGCTCACATACAAACGTAATTAGTTTGTAACGTCCTTCCGTGTGAATAGCATCGTGGAAGCAACCTTCAGAACATCGAGTAGACACAGGCAGGCATTTCTGCAAATGGCTAGCACACCTCTGGAGAGGCGGCACGACACCTAATGTCGCCGTCTGACCCCCTTCCCAGGCACACGCCATTACAACGGCGTTGGATTTGACTCTGGTGCGTAGAAGGCCTTCGATTATACCTAACGTCCTTTGCTGGGATCCGGGGCCCAGCAATGCACCTCGCGACGAAAGTCTGGCAGACAAAGGAGCCGCCGGGCGGAGATGAGGGACTCTCTGATCGTCCCTGCGACCTCCGGAAGGCAGGGCTCGGGGACTCAGGGAGCCCGCGGCAGCCGCGTGGGGCGGACGTACCCAGGGTCTCAAGCTTCGGGGCCAGACCCGAGGAGGCGCCCTGGTCATTTTGCATTCGGAGTTTTGAAATCTTTTTCCTAAAGTGACTCAGCCCCCGATTCCCCTCCCCAGAAGGCGGAGCGTTAGGTCTTACAGACCCCAGGCCCACCCCAGACAAGACTTTTCGGCCGGCAAGAAGCGGCCTTCTTCTAAGGACAAAGAACTGCGGCCTCGGGCCGTGACTGCGGGCTGACAAGGGCCGCCTGGCAGCACACCGGAGAGCTGGGAAGAACCAAGGCGGGCCTTGAGAGGAGAGGGGCGGAGCCAGGCGCCCCGAAGTCCCGCGAGTCGAAGGCCGGGGCAGCCGCGGCCGCAGAAAACTGCCAGGGCTAGGAGAACGGGCGGGGCCTGAGGGGGAGAAGGGCGGGGCCGGGAGCCGAGAAGTTCCGGGAACCTAAGGCAGGGGCATCGGCAGGCAGGAGCGGAGATCAGTGCTTGGGAGAGGAGGCGAGGCCTGGAGTGGGGAGGGCGGGGCTGGACAAGAACCAGGGTCCAGAGCGGAGGCAGCCATGGGGCGTGGCCGGAGCTACGGCACCATGGCTCCGCCTCCGCCTCCGCCCCCGCCCGCCCCCTTCGGAAGAGGGACGCAAGCAAGGAGAAGAGGGGGAGTTGAAGGAGGCGGCGGCGCGGAGCGTTAGTCTTGGGGAGCAGCCGACCCGGGGAGCGAGGAGGTCGCTCTGGACGCTCTTCCTCCAGCCGCTGAGCCGTCCCTTCTCGCCATGTCCCAGAGCAGGCATCGCGCCGAGGCCCCGCCGCTGGAGCGCGAGGACAGCGGGACCTTCAGGTCGGCGCCTGGCAGTAGGAACCACGGGGCCGGGACGGGTGGGAGCGCGGCGGGGGCGGGGGAGCCGGCCCTCCCGCGGCATTGTGGGTAAAAGCCCTTCCCGGCGCGGCACCCCCCGGCCCGCCCTCCCGGCGGCGCCCGGCCGGGGTCTGCGGCTGGGCCCCGCCCCTCTGGTGGCCGCGGGCGGCGGGCTGCGGGCGGCACGGGGCTCGCGCGAGGCTCGCGGGGTGGGCGGAGGTGGCGCGCTGTCGCCAAGCCCAGAAAGGGATCGTGGGCTTGGTCCTATGAGACAGGCGCCGGTGCCCATCCGGCTCCCCGAAGAATTCCTCCTACCCGCCTCCAAGTTCGCTTTCTGAAGACCTCCGTCGCCCCGCCTGGCCCTTCGGGGTGACTGCCGCAGCGGGGCCGGAAGACAGGTGCGCCCCGGCCTTGCCAGCTCTGGCCTGGCCGCTGGGGAGCCACGGCGCCTCCCTCGTCACCGTTGGTGACGGTCGAAACTGGCCTCTGTGTGCTTCTGCTTCCCTCTCCGACTTGACATGCGAAGCACACCTTTTTCTGGTTTTTGCAGTTTGGGGAAGATGATAACAGCTAAGCCAGGGAAAACACCGATTCAGGTATTACACGAATACGGCATGAAGACCAAGAACATCCCGGTTTATGAATGTGAAAGATCCGATGTGCAAATACACGTGCCCACTTTCACCTTCAGAGTAACCGTTGGTGACATAACCTGCACAGGTCTGTATGCACAGTTAACACCCAGACGACCATGCGGGTTGGCGGCAGGACTTGGTGTTACTTTTCAGGTCGGAAAAGTGCCTTAAAAAAAAAAAAAGAAAGAACCAGGTATAGCTATGAAGAGCAGGCTCTGAAACTGAGACATCTTATCTCAGGTCATCAGGACTTGGCAACTTCATCTGATTCCCTCCCTAATTTTCTTTTCCCAGATGCCAAGGAAGTTCAGACACTACAAAGTTATCCAGGCATTCTGCAAGGCTCCTCTCAAACCCTAGAATTCTTCTAGGGTTTTTCTAAGAATTAGAAGCAGGAAAGATTTTTGGAGCAGTCATAGCTGAATCAGTAGGTACAATCAGTTTTCAGATTATGCCAGATGCCAGAAGGCATTACCCCAGAATTTTCTGAGCTTCTCCCCTCTCTGGATGTACTTAATTGGCATTTTAGATCCATTGTACAACTCTTTTTTTTTTTAAGCCAGTTAAATTAACTCTTAATTTTTTATCCAAGCAAAATGAGAAAGGCTAGACAGGTATTTTTGTATAAGATAGTATCGCCTTTTTATTCACAGAGAAACAGGTTCAGAGATTATTTATAACTAATATGTTTTTGGAGTGAAGTCACTTAGCAGTGAAGTTTCACAGTTCAGACTCATGCCTTCTTTTGGTCTGTGAGCTTGAGCAAATGATAACTAAAGTTGCTCATTTGTAAATGTGGATATTATTTTTCTTATATATGTATTTAATTGCAAACATAAAAAATATCAAACGCTAAATTTAACTTGGAAGAATGCCAAGAAACAAAATTTAGTTGGAAAGCTGAAGTTTCACCATCTGGTAATCTGAAGGCATCACTTGCTCGTGTCCCTGGAAATCTGGAGTCCTTTATTTTCATGAAGTCAATTTAAGAAAAGTTTACGAGTTTAAGTCTATGTGAGGCAGGTGGATTATAGGTGCTACCTAGAAGGTCCTCATGTGAACCATAGGGCCAACATTGCATTACTACTTTAGTTTGTTTTTAGATATTCAGGGAGAATTTAAGAAAAAGTAGTTTTTTCCCTTGATTGTGTTTTAGACCAGGGATTAACAACCTATGGCAACCATTCTGCTGAGGCCCTCTTCTCACACTGCTCTGTCTTCCTGTGCAAGCTCTGTGGTTTCCAATACTGTCTAAAGGTTAATAATTCTGAAATCTCGTCTTCATCCCAGGCCCAGGTAGTACCAGCCTATCCACTCTAGGTGTCTGTGCTTACATGGTGCAGAAGGATTTCAGGTGTCTCACTGTCCCAAACCGAATCCATTCTTTCCCACAAGCCCATTTATCCTACATTCCCTCTCTGTAATGGCATCACAGACACCTAGTAATAGTTGCTCGGTACAAGTTTGAGTTTTGTCTTCTTGACTCTTCCTTGTCCCTCTCTTGTCCAGCCTATCAGTAAACTCCATCTCCTGAATATCCATTGAGTCTGTCTGCTCATCTTTTTTTTCCATTGCTACTGTCTAGGCCACTGTCATCTCTCACTTGGACTATAGCTACAGTCTCATAGCTCTTTCATCTTCTAGTCTTGTGATGTCCTTTTGCCACATGACAATCAGAATGTTCCTTCTAGCATTTTCTTCCTCTTAAAATCCATTTTGCTGGTTTCCCCATCACCCTCTGGATAAATAAAAATTGCTTAACGTGTATCATAACCTTGTTCTTAAAGTGTAGTTCACAGCAACATTGGTAACACCTGGATATGCAATGGAACCGCAGAATAGCAGGTCCATTCCAGATGTGTGTGTTTTAACAAAATTCCCAGGCAATCTCTATGCACATTTAAGTTTGAAAAGCGCATATGTACAATACCTTCTGATCTCTTCCCCTACACCCCCAGCTCTCTATCCTTTTGTCTCAAAATTCCTTCTCTCAAGTTTTTACACTTTAGCTATACCTAACAACTTGGGGTTTTTGAGAACACTGTGCTCTGTGTTGCCTTTGAACCTTTGCAGGTGCTCTTTTTCTGTGCCTATAATTCTCTTCCTAACCTCCCATCTCTGTTCATGTTACTACCTTTTACTCATCATTTAGGTAGCCATTTAGTTATGGATACCTTCATGAAACCTTTCTGAATCCATACCAACAGAAAAACTGCTGCTTGTGTGTACTCTCCTGTGGTCTGCACTTGGGCTTGTCGTAATGCATTCTGTTACATATTTCAGATGTCTATTAACAGGTGAAATCCCACATGAGGCTATCAGCTCTTTAGGGAGGGGACTCTATTTAGTTATATGACTTATCCCTAATAGCTCTGTCAGTGGATAAATGTGTGGTTTGTATGTCTTCTGACACTTGAGGGTCACACATGAAACTTATTCTA